AAGATCTTTATAAATAGGAGCTGAAAGCTGGGTTGCTAAATCCATATTTAGCCAGCTACATAAGTTGACCTGATTTTCAAATATGCCAGGCACCCTCTACACTTCTGTCACCAAACACCATTTGAAAGAGTGACATTTAGGTTTGACACTTGGGTAGTTTGCAATAATCCTGGCTGGCTTTACTATAGACTTATCAGTTGATGTCAAAACACTGCAGATATACAGATTGGATAAAGGGTGGCTACAGACGCTCAGATCAAAATGGCTGCCTGGGTTTTTTTTTTTTTATTTTTTCAATTTAATAAGGTAACAACCTTAATGACCTGGCTTGGAAAGCCTCGAGAGCTCTGCTAATATACCATGTTTTGAAGAATGGGATATTCTTTCCTCTTAAAATACCATTAAGGACCACTTACATGAGAGCAGAAGAACAGTGACTAAGATCTTTATAAATAGGAGCTGAAAGCTGGGTTGCTAAATCCATATTTAGCCAGCTACATAAGTTGACCTGATTTTCAAATATGCCAGGCACCCTCTACACTTCTGTCACCAAACACCATTTGAGTTTCAAGGGTGTCCAGCATACTTGAAAACGAGACCACTAATTTTAGAGCCCCAATAGGAATCAAATAACCTAACATCAGGTCCCTGTTTTGAAAACGTCAGTATCTTGCTTAGAAGCTTTTTGGTTCTGCTTATTTGCCAGCTCTACTGAACAAAATTGCTATGAGAATAGCCAAACTAGAGCCAAAGGTCCATCTATCCCCTATTCTGTTTTCAGCAGTCACTAGTACTAGATACCTAAGGAAGAACATAAGAATAGGTTGAATATCAAGGGACACTTTCCTCATCACACCCTTTTAGCTCCCAGCAACATGTGATGTGTCTAGTCAAGTTATTGATACACAGTGCTCTGCTTAAGAATCTTTTATCGTGCTAGCACTCATTGCAAAACCAGTACATCTAAAGTATGTTAATTCAAACAGAAAAAGCAGCAATGTTATTTAAATCATGCCTGCTGAGATCACAAAAATTTAAAGATTGTCATTTCTAAAAAAAAGTACTTTAATTCAAAGTAAACAAAGGCTTACAATCACCAGGGGAGTAAAGTAAATATCAGCACTTGCCTGTCAAAAAGTAGAAAGCTGGTAAGCAGTTTCTAAGGCCCTAGAAGTGCAACAGATTAGCGTGACTGTGAAAAGCCCTGGATGGTTAGCAAAGAAGCAATAATGACTTTTGTGGAAAAAAGAGGACTTATGTAATTAAATGAGGCGAGAAAGGTCAGGGATTCGAGCACAGGCACAGGTGGCACAAAAAGTTAGAGAGTCTCTGTGGTAAAAGACACTTTCTAGAGGAATGAAAAAGAAAAGGAATTCAGACTCTCTTTAGGTCTTGCCAAAAGAAAAGGAAATTAAGGACTTGTAGCCAGTAGAAGATTTTGAAACACGGAGATTTCAAATGGAATTAGCAAAACTGGATTGGGAATGGAGTGTTTTGAAAAACTGAACAACCAGGGAACGTAGACTCCTCTTTCGCATTTGAAGTCTTTCAGCCAGCATAGCTCACATCAGTAATTCTATTAGCTCACATAAGAGTATTTCCAACAGTGAAATAACTCTGGCATTTAAATGCCAACAGAGTCTACACTCAGCTCCTCAGCGCATAATGTGACATCATCATTACAACAAATCAAACCAAGAAGCTACTTTTAGTCTCCTGCTTCTAACCTGTTAGCTCTCAAGAGTATGTTAATGATGCCTACCTCTCCCTGTGGTGTAAGGCCAGGAGTCTCTTCCTTGAAAAGTTTAATCCGGAGCTCTAAAGTATTTACATTCTGATACATATCCCTTGTTTTCCTCCAATTCACTCCTATCTGTTGGTTATAGAACTTAAAATTGGATAAAATGTGATAACGCACTTATAAAATCTCAAACTTCTATAGAAAGCACTGAAACTTTAGCTTTTAAGCTATTTAAATCTGCTTCACAATGCTTCATTCATTTTTTATGTACAATTTAACATAATGTCACCAACAGAGACATATGGGTCACATTCTTCTCTTACTAGCACAAATTTAGAAGAAACTGTATTGAAGTTCACTTGAACTAAAACAGTGTAAAACCAAGAAAGAATGCTAAATTAAATCCTCCAACTTCAAAGAGCTGCAGGAGGCAAGAAGAGATGATTGCAATTATTATAAGCAATCAAGATCCTGTTTCCATACAGAAGTCCACAGCAAATTAAAAACACAGGAAGAGATGTACAGAAAACCTAAGTAAAATGAATATGCTTTCTCACAAGGCATCTTTCAGACTTTAAGGAAAACGCAGTTGACCCACAGCAGCAGCTGCTGGAATAGACAACTTAAAGCTCCTAATCAGGTCATTCCACACAAGAACTATCATCATTTCATACCCCTCTAAAACGTTGGGTAATGTCCCCCTGAAGTCAAGGAAAGTATTTGGGGATATAAAAAACACACTAAATATTGGCTAATGAGGAACAGACAAAGAAAAGTGCCAAACGTTGTAAAGCCCTGATCCTTAAGATAATGACTGAAATTTATGACCGTTTCCTTCCCTGGTAGACAGAAGTACAATTAGAACTCTCAGAACAACAACCCCTTTTGTGCTGGCATGCTGTGTTGTGTTTATATGGCTACAGATAAACTAGAAGATAAAAAAAAAAAAAAAAAAGGTACAGCACCCTTTATAACCCAAGATAATAGGAAACTTTTTAATGTGGCTTTGAGCATGGTTTTGCACATAGCTTATTCTTAACTGAAGTCATTTAGGTAATTATCATTGCATGGGCAGGAATTAACCATTTAAGTAACTTGCTGTATGCAGAACCTTCTGAAAAAAATCAAACGAAACAAGAATAAGCATGCTATTATGAGTCACTCCCTAATTTCCTTTGCTGTCCAAATACAGCTTGACACCTAAGCTTAAATTATTCCTTTATTTCAGTTTTAAAAAATTTGAATGTGCTTGACTTGAGGAACTTTTGAATGAAAAGCCTCAGGAAGCATGCATGCCCTTTCTTTCATCCTTTACTGGTATCCCGTGATATGGATTACTTGGAACTGAGAGTCGCTAGAATAAGCTTAAGGAAATACAGGCACAGGTTTTCTCATCTCCTCACAAAGAAAGCACTATTACAACAACATTCAGAATATGCAGTCTGGGCTCAGATAACCACAGATGGTTTTACAACAGAATATGCTACAGGCATCTTGTCCCTACAAATTCTGGGAAAGGAGGATGCAGGGGAAGCTGCAACAACTTCCCAAAGAGAAGTAGCAACTTCACAGCTGAATCTTCATGATTTCCCCTGTTATGTGGGCTGTCATTTTGGACTACACATCTCTCCCTTCTTTCTCTTTCACTTCATACTGTGTGTGTGCATCTTGTCCCTCACAGTTGCACTGATCATTGCTCTTGTAATACAGCTAAGGCTAGTTTCTTCCTCATTTACAGTGACGATCCACATGCATCTGCATCAGTCTTCTAGTACCGTGTGTTTGAAATCAGAGGAAATCACTAAACAGTTCTTCTGATTTCATATGGCTTAAAGAACATGACACACAATATCACACTTGCCTCCAAATCAAACCACTATGCAAAGCATCGGAGAAAACAGTCAATTGTAGGTGCTCGAAGCAACCAGTAGGCATGCACATTTCTTGATGTTTTTCATTTACATGCTCATCAAGCCAAGAGCTATCATAAAAAACTCAGTAACCAGTACAGGGTATCTCCAAAGTAACACAGCTTATGTGACAAAGCAGGGAGTCATCAAATTCTTAAGTCTTTAATTTTGTAGATTTTCATTAAAAAGTGAAAATAAACCTACACCAAAACCAATACTGTATTACAAATCAACAAGTTTTACTACTTTTACTCCTGATGAGGCTTGCAAGAGGAAATCTGGAAAAATAAATGTGCATTAAAAAAATCTATGTACCATGAAACAGAAAGTTTCATTATTTGATTAATGATAGAGTTTATTAAAAATAAAAAAGAGAAGCAGCTTAGCAGTTCAAATTTCTGGTTCATCTAAGCACTTGGGCTGGCTTCACCCATGTGCAATTTGAAGATCACAGATCACATCTAGTGACAAGAGTCCCAAAGAGCCCCATAACATCAAACCAACAATCTGGAAATATGCCTTTCCTTTCCATCTACACCCTTCTAACAGAGCTTTGTCTTGAATTCATCCTTTGACTATTTTGTCAATAACACATCTGCCTAAAAGCATCCACTCTACTGCTAGCACTACTCAAATAGTGGAAAAACAAAAATGGTGTTTCATTCTCTGCTCTTAATATATACTACCTCATTACTATCTCAAACAGCAAACTTTTTTTAAAAAACAAAAATGCTAAAGGGGAATGCTATTTGCTAGATATTTCCTTGCTACTAATAGAGCTAGAATTCTATTGAATTGCACAACTGGAAATTAAATTGCAAGAATAAAAATATTTTGTTACCCCTTTTACTCTCCACAGCTCCATGAATATTTGAAAATACAATCTTTACAGTTTGCCTTACTCAGTTGCCAAAGCCCAGTGTTTGATTAGAAAATCATAAATCACAACAGATTCATGAATAAACCCCTGTAGCTGGATTTCAGTATGTTCTTATTCTGTTAAGACATAACACAGAAATCATCACCAAAGGAAAATAGCACAGAATGATTGAGGTATTAAGTACAGAATTAAATAGAACAAAGAAAAAGAACTCTAATTTGGCTAACAGGGAAAATTCAGAGCCACAGGTCTAACGAGCTTATATTTTCCTTCCCGGAGTCCTGTTCCGACTAAACAGCATAGCACAATGGACACAAATAAACCTACCTCTATGAAGCAAGAATTAGAGTTTTAAAGTTGGCTTAGCAAAAATAGCACAACCACCTTGTGTTGAAAGGAATTTGACATTGCTCTCTGATAAAAAGGAGTCTAACAAAATACAAAAGGAGATACTAAGACGTTTCTTTACCTAGCCATCCCCAGACTGGAAAAGTTGGAAGGGACTATCAAAACATCAAGTCTGGAGAAGGGATGGGTACCCAGGGTGGTGTAAGCAGCAGAGAGGCACTGAGGAATTAGCTGGAGTACAAGTTCTTTGCAGCTCTCCATAAGGCACCAGGGAGTAAAGACTCTATAAGGAATGACGGCCTGCAGCCTGGCAGCAGAATTTTGGAATCGGCAGGGATAGTCCATGTGACCACAGCGTTCTTCATGCCATCTGACAATAACAAGAAAGGATAGTAGTTTAATGTGATATCAGAAATATGCACAATTAAGTATATCAAGATAATGATATTTTCTAGACAACAGAGAGACAAAACTACAAAGTTAGATCACATAAAGCCAATGCAGATAAAGCCAACAGTATTCTTATACTAGTTCACATACATGCAGGATGGTGAAAACAGGCTAAAATTATTACTACATATCTAACTAAAATTGACCTAGTTACTCATAACTAGAAGTAAATGAGACTGGCCACCCCAAATTTTAAAATGGACATGCATCAAAAGAACATGTGTTTAAAATGTAAATACAGAAAACTAAGGAATAACACAAAAAGAAAGATAAATATTTGTTCAGAGAATATTTAAACAAACATTGTAAAACATTCTGAATATTTAAACTCAACTACAAAAATAAGGTCTATTTTCTCCACAAATATATTAGGTGCAATTAGAATGAAATTTAAATTTTTTTTTTCTAAACTCAAAAATTCTCAATGAAAACTAGTAAGTTATTTTTCCCCTAAGTAAAGGAAAGTAGTAGATATCAATTCAGATTTATCAGCATAGACATTTGAAGATATCACATTAAGATCAACCTTGCTTTACATTACTTTTACAGGATGTTCAGAGTTGTAGCTGGAAGGAGGGAGAAATCTGATCCTTCCTAAACACTGAGTCAGATAAATTATTGTAAAAGTATCTGCCCAAATAAACTCATATCTAAGGAGAAATCAGCTTCATGTTTTTACCTGCTAACTTGCCTTCCGTACAACACAGAGCCTCTCCTCAGTTTCAGATTTCAACTTAAGGGAGCTGATTCTACCATGCCTTGACAGGCAAAGTATTTACTATTATTGCACAAGGCATCACCCAAAGCAGTTACATTCATAAGATCATGTTCCAAGTGGGTGCTGGTACACAAAAACAAATGATAACACACAGAAAAGCACTACATGTTTCTGAAGGGCCAATTTTTTAAACACCTTACATAACTATTTCCCTGAAAGAAGTGGACCCTAAGCTATTTCATGGATTATATATGCAAAGGAACAACACCCATTATTATACAATTTTTTCCAAGGGTGGTCTAAACCAATATCCTTCTGATCTAAAAGAATGTCACTTCATATTTAACCAGCAGACTTGAGATGAGGTAAGCTCATGAAAGCTAATGCCCTGTCTCCTGCAAAAGTTGCTAAGGAGTCTTTAACGACAACAAGGAGATAGAAATCTTATTTCACATCCTACTTCAATATTATACTCTCTGTGATACTACTTGGAAGAGTATCTTCTTTCATATTCATTTCACCTGCACATAAATTACGTTACATATGAAAATATACTCTTTTAGAAATCCTTCCTTTGCCTCCTGTCCTAGAGTTTCTCCCCATTATCCTTACTTGAGATACCAGCTTAACCTTTGCTTATCTACCTATTTTGCACTCTTTCTAGCAAACATGTCCTACTATGCATAATGCCGGTTTGATCAACTACTCTCAAGGACTAAAACAAGTACTTGAGAAACGTCTGTTGTGCGCTAACTACTGAAATAAAGTTTAACTGGATTTAACTTTAAGAGCAGATTCCTAAGGACATAGGTTTTTTGTATTAATTAACTCTAAAACAGCCTTGTACGTGTAAGATCTCCTTTGTTGTCTAAATATACTATACACATGGCAGGGAATTTTTTTTTCAGTTTTTATTTTATTCTAAAGATACTGGTTCGATTTCTTCCACTGTCATTAACTCAACTGCTGCAGATATATCACCTCACCTTCCTATATCAATTCATACATCCATCAAAGAGGATGGTAACGATTACTATCATCCTGATTAAGGCTTGGATTAATTTTTGCTACAAAAATGCTATAAAAACATTTATTTCCCTTTTTTTCAAAAGTTTTACAAAAAAGAGAAACTTTCAGTTATTCTATCAACACACTGTCAGAATAATCCTTTGCACCAAATCAATAAAAATTTCAAATACTAAACGTGCTGTGCATTAGAGAAGAATATATAGTGACGAACAACTAGAGGCATATTTCTGTAGAAGCAATCATACTATAAGCATATAAGTAGTAGAGGAATAAGTACAAAATAATCTCTAAAAGCTCATCAGATCTATAAGCTATTTTAAAACTTCAGTGCATGTGTCTTACTGATCTTACATGAAACATAAAAGCTCCTATTCTCAAGATTTACTAGGATTTTTTTTTTTAAAACAGCTATTAGCCAAACTGCAGCCTACTAGAATCCTTTAATTTCAAAATTCTATTGAGAAGTCCTTATTATGCCCTCAATTTCCAAAGTCTCACTAGCTCTGTCAAAGTGGTAATGATTGCCACAGTCTTCATGTTAACACAGTATTAGCCCTAAAATAGCTATCTAACAGGTAAGCTGAGCTTCTAATTGCATAACAAAAAAAGGACTTAAGGAACTTGAAAAGCTAAAGGTAACATGTGAAGAAATAAAGTGCAACATCTGAGATTCTGTTAACTAGGGTGAATACATGTGGAAACAAACTATTGCACCAGGGACTTAATTTTTAGCCTGAATTCTCATTTGCAGGCTAATTTAAATATAATTTAAATATAATAATAATTAAAACCTGATGATCCGTTTCAACTACATTGGACAGAGAGATAGAAGTCTCCAAAATAATTACACTTCTACAGGTTTGGTGAAAGACAGCTAAGTAACCATTGTGCTGGACAACAGACTAGTCTCTATTAAACAGAACGAATGTTCTGCCTTTCTTCTAAGGCACAGCTCCAACAGGTGTTTTTTTCTACCAGTCAGTACACATCACCCCAGGGAAACCACTGCATAGGCCAGCTCTAAGTCTGGGATGGCACTGGACAGGACAGAAAGGGAAAAGCAGGTGACTAGGATTGAGCAGACAATACTGCAGTAGGGGACATTAATGATCTGGAATGGACTGAGACTACAGCAAGATCTTACAGACAGCATTGTAAGGAGGAGCAGGTATTATTGCAGCAAGGGATACAGGATGCAAATCAGAGGACACTAGGCTCCATTAATCCTGTTACTCACCAAGCAGCCTGTTCTTACATAAAAAGATCCACACCCTTACCTATTAAATAATACCTCAGGAATTACTTTCCTGTCAAGATTTTGCTGTTCAGATTAAACAAGTTCTGTTTTGACTCCTGTACTGAAATGACTCATTTTCACAGTCCATGGAGTAAATGAAAATGCTGCTCAAATATGGTATTTTTCAACACTAATCTAAACACTAACCTGAGATCAGCTTGGGAAAACGGCAAGGAAAAGTCACTGTTTGTCTGAACCTCAGCTGTGAGGTGCTGCTGTTTAACTTCCAACCAGCAGCCGATGGCAATAGTGAAGGTGGATGCTGGCATTGGCATAGTCACATAATAGTACCAGCTCAAGATACCTGCAAGCAAAAAGAACATTTGTACAAAACCATCAGCCACAACACAGAGCGAGTGCTTGGAACATTAATGTGCTTGAGATTCTGGGCCAAGCCTCCTGCTGTAGAGCCTCATATTTTTGTTAAAGAAGGGAAAAATTGCACTGAGATGCATAAAAGTGGTCATATAAACTCACCATGGATTCACTAGTGTTCCCTTATGTCTGCAACTTCCTAGATTTACAATACCTCTATTTTTAGACTAAGTGCTACTATCTGCTGATCTCTTCGTCTATTAAAAAAAATTCCATAAATGGGATGTTATTAATGCAAGTTAACATGACTGTAATGTTACTGCCTAAGAATCACATCAGATGTGAAATCAAATAGGACCTTTAAATCCATATATACAAAAGGATAAAATTTAAACTCTTACAACCCTGGATCACCACTTTTTTTTTTGTCTTAACTGTATTATCTAGTATAGAACTCTCTTCTTTGCATTCAGGACAGTACCAAATGGATAGGTAAGATTTAACAAGCAACACCAATGAATCAGACCTGGCAATCAGATACCTGATGTGCCAACCAGGCAATAAGAAATCAAAGCTCAGAATCAGATGGGATACTGCCAGAGTCAATGATTTGGTCATGATAATCCAGTAGCTGCTTTACCAAGATGAGAGAGTCTATTTGAAGCTAAAATGATGACGACTCTTATCAGTATGGGAACATAGTGTAGGAAGACAGGGAGTATGGTAGAGGATGACTATATCTGTGAATCCATTTGGATAAACTGGAGGTTGTTTTAGGACACTGTACTTTTCATTAATCTAAACCTTGCTTACGTTTGCCTTCTGTCCCTTGACAAAGGGTAAGGTTCAAGGGTCACATTCAAGAACTCATTTGTGGCCTCATATATGCTTACTAAATGATATTAATAGGTTAATTACACTTGGAAAGAAGCTAGCATGAGGTACAACCTGCTGATTCACTTGTAAACAAGTGTAGCCATGGCAACTATGGAAACATACCAGCTTCAGTTCTCTTTCAAGAGATAACTCAAATATTAATATGTTTGCAATAGTATTCTGAATAGCTATGGAACATTAATAAAAGAAAGAAAAAAGGAAAAAAAAAATCAATCCAATGGCTGCCACAATGCACAGGGGAGAGAAAAGAAACAACTGTACAGCCAAGTCTCTCCGTCTCCTAAGTCCAAGCTATCCAAAGGAAGTGCAAGCAAAAAAAAAGAAATCTTTTTGCTTAGGCTTAAAGAATGCTGCCACCTCCAAATTAGTGTAACAAGACAATACTGTTTGTGGAGTCCTGCAGGAGGCACATAAGGCCTCTGCTTGTTGTAGGCACTGGCAACCACTTGCACTCCCCCACTCCATTCTGCCTTTGGAAAGATCTACCACTCCCAAAAAAAAGCTTTTGTCCGTATTGCCAGCTGAACATATATGACTCCTGACAGCTGAACATATATGACTCCTGGTAATTTTCCTGACCTCCCATCAGTATATGAGCAGAACTTACTTATTCCAAACACATGAGAAAAAGCAGAGAAGTGTTTTGCCAAATTCTTTCTTTTTTGGGGGTGGGGAAGAGGGGAGGGGGACTAACTTACAAAAGCTAGTAAATCCCATCTTGAGGGAAA